TTTCAACGTTTATTTATTTTTGGGACAGAGAGAGACAGAGCATGAACGGGGGAGGGGCAGAGAGAGAGGGAGACACAGAATCGGAAACAGGCTCCAGGCTCTGAGCCATCAGCCCAGAGCCTGATGCGGGGCTCGAACTCACGGACCGCGAGATCGTGACCTGGCTGAAGTCGGACGCTTAACCGACTGCGCCACCCAGGCGCCCCTAGCAACTGTTTCTTGAGTGAATGGATGAATACATAGATAAACAAATGAATGTATGAATGGATGGATGACTGCAGGATGACTATGTGTGGATGTGTTTGCCAAGACTAATGGTGTTACAGATAAGTGTGCCATGGGAGTCTCTGGTTGTACACAGCCAGATGTGTGCATGTGTTATAGCAACAGTGGTGGGATTTGCACAAACTAGTATTTGTGCAAGGGGTCAGCACATTGTTATCCACAGGTGGATCAAAAGTGTGTAGGCCTACAGGAGGACATTGTATAGATGCAATATATCAAAGATGTTGTGTGTAAATGCAGAATGGCAGCATGTGGAGGTGCACAGTTAAAAATAGAGTGATTTATATGCAGGGGGACAAAGTCTGGGTGTACCCTCCGGAGAAGAAAGAGAAAGGATATCCTAAGTTGCTCCAAGAAGAGTTTCCTGGAATTCCATCCCCAGTGGATGCAGCTGTGGAATGTCACCGTGGGGAATGCCAAGAGGAGGGTGTCCTCTTCTTCCAAGGTCAGTTGAGGCAGGAATAAGAGAGACTGGAGTAATGGTTGTTGGTGATTGAGGTAACACAGGGATGGTAGAGCCACCATATGGCTTCCCAAGGAAGGGAAGAAATAGAGATGCCAGTTATGATCTAGAGGTCAAATAGGGAAAGGAGAGGAAGTCATCCTGGGTGAGGTAATGGTGCAATTTTGCTAAAAGTTCTTCACTGTTCCCCATGACCCTTAGGATAAATCTGTATTCCTTAGTCTTACATATAAGGTTCTCCATGAGCAAGTTCCTACTGACCCTCCAGCCTCGACACTCATCATGCCCTTACCTTGAATATGAAACTCCAGAGGCACTATGCTGTTCCTTATACACTCAATTTGCTTCATGCTTCAGATTTTCCTTTCTCTGGAGTTCCTTTTCCTCCTATTCTCTGCCTTGTAACTCCTGCTTCAGGTATTAATTTAAATATCACCTTCTCTGGAAAGTTTTCCCTGTCTCTCCTCACCGTACTTGCTGAGCCAATCATGTGCATTTTCCTGCTGAATTTTATTGTATGATCATTCTCAACTGTTTCCCTGCGGGCTGTGAGCTTCACATGGCCAGGATCATATCTGGCCCAGCCTGGGCCCAATGCAAGTGTAAGGGAGGGTGTAGCCTGGCCCACTGAATGCTTGTTGATTGATTGGACAAAGGTAACCACACATGGTTCTGGGACTTGACTACGGGAGCCACAAAGGAGCGTTCCTGGCCGGCTGTTGGGAACTGCTCCTCTGCCCTGCGATGGCTCAGCCGCTACTACTGCTTCCGGGGTAACCAATTCCTGCGCTTCAACCCCGTCACGGGAGAGGTGCTTCCAAAGTACCCTCTGGATGTTCGAGACTACTTCATACCCTGCCCTGGCAGAGGTGAGAAAGCCCTAGCCCCTGAAACCTACTGGAATTCATCTACCTCCCCTGAGTTTTCATACCCCAGCTCCTACCTAAATTCTCTGGTATAGTACTTTGGCCCTTGCCCTAGCCCCATCTCCATGCTGGATCTTCCCAGTTGTCCTCCTGTGGGAGAAGCCTACATTCCCACTAATCCTTGCCATCTCTTCCACCTCAGACTGCATTCTGACCTCTGATCTCCCTCTGTGTTCCCCCTCACCTATTTCTCTTCCCAGGCCATGGACACAGGAATGGGACAGGCCATGGGAATGGTACCCACCCTGGCCATAGGGATGTGCGCTGTGGCCCAGATCTAGTCTTATCTGCACTGCTGACTGACAACCATGGTGCCACGTATGCCTTTAGTGGTGAGAGATACCCCTAATTCCCCCATCTCTGCCCTCCATTCCTCCCATCTCTTTCGCATGTATCTCCCATCTCTGATGTACTTCCTCCACTTTCATCACTGCATCCCTTATTTGTCCCCTTGGACCCCATCCTTAGCATCCTCAGCATGCAATTTTTTATCCCTCATCTCTTCTGATGCATATTGTTCAACCTTGTCTCTCATTGCCCAGGCCTCTAACTTCATCTACCTGTCTGCTTCCCAGTACCCTCTACTCTCAGGTCTGTGCCCTCTGTGGGTCCATATAACTCCTTATGTTATATTCCCTTTGCTCTTGCACATCTTGCCAGGTCCTCTAGCTCCCCCTAAGTATATCCTTAGGAGTTCCATCTTTTTCCAAGTTCTTGTTCTTAGTTCAGGCCTCTGGGCACAGCATTACCTGGGGATGAGGTGTTCCTGTTGCTGAGAACCTGCAACATGTTTTGGGTCCCTTAGACCTTCACTAGCCCGAGGAGGTTTCTTCTTTTAGTGACTGGGGAGGCACCTCTCTCCAGACCTGTGGCATTAATTGGTAAAGGCCATGTAATGATACCTAGGGATGTTCTGGGTTTAGTGAGGCACAAAGTGATGAGTCTTGATCCACACTTGAGGATAGCTCCAAGAGAAGGAGTAAAGCAACCAAGTTACATTCAGCCCAAGATAAATGTATGATCAGGTACAAATGTAAAATAGTGGTGAGAACACAGAATGGTGAAAATCCCGTTTTGCTCTTAAACCCTGGACAAATCTGATCAGACATGACTACCAAGCTATACTGAAAAAGACACAGTCATGAGGAGAGTATATCTCCACAACAGAAACGCATGCTATAATGAGAACATTCATCCATGATGAAACACACACCTGTAGTGAAAATAGAGACTTATACTGTAAATACATGCCCATGGTAAGAACACATAACTATCAGACCATGAAGCTATGGTGAAAGCATAGGACCACCAGGAGAACACACAGAAAAAGTGAGACAGAGATAAAGGAAAGGAGGTAGAGATCATTGAGAAATCAGGGCCATAGGGACCACATGGGGATGTAGAGAGAATACCCAGCCATGGAGAGATTATAGAACCTCCAGGCCATGTGGCCCTGAATAGAATTTAGCTGTACTCCCAAATCAAAAGTATTAGATATGTTCCCTAGTTGATGACAGAGTACCAGCTATGGAGAGAATACCATTATGTTAAAAATCCCCAGCTGAAGTGAGAATTCACTATCTTGGTGAAAACACTCATGTGACTCAGCTACTTAGCATAGGGCTGGTCCTCTCTTCTCTCCGATATATCTTTCTTTCTCTGCGTCATAGCTTCTTACCTATTCTTCCCGCCTTTTCACAATGTTGGCTTGCACGAGGACCATCATACCCTCTTCCTTCTCTCTATTCATGATCTTTTAGCCTCAGATCCAACTGGAAACTGCCTCACTTACTCTTTTTCCTACTTGGGTCGCCAGAGAGCAAATCTGACCCAGCCCATATTTTTATTCCAGACCACATTGAAGTGATTGCTGGTCAGTGTGTGCATTGGCTAGTGATGGAAAAGGGGCTCATCACTTATTTCCTCTGTACAAAGAGCACCACAGCCCATTCTCAAAATAGGGGCCACGAGCAGGGTAGTTTCATAAGGAGGTGAAGGTGGATACAGAGTCTCCATGACATACCCAGTAAACAACTATAAAGAGAACTTGTGGGTAGAGTGAGAACATCAGCTATTTATTCAACAAATAATGATTGAGCACCTGAGAGGCACTGGGCATTTTTCTAGGCACTGGGATACAGTAGCCAACATAGCAGATGAGACACATGCCTTCATAGAGCTTGACTAAGGAAGACAGGGCAATAAGAAAGAAAAAGAAAAGAATAATTTAGGTAGTTGTGAAGTGTTCTGGGAACATCAGAATGTTTCTTATTCTCAAATACCATTTGGTATGGATTTAAAAATTGTTGATGTTTTTAAATATGACATTGAAAATGTTAGGTGTCAAAAAAAGCTGCGAAGAAATTAGGACAGGATAATGAGATAGAGGTCAGGAAAATGAGGGTCCCCTTCTTTGAAGAAATGCTTTTGAGCTGAGATTTCAGTGATAAAAAGGCATTAGGTACATAAAGCACTGGAGGAAAAGCATTTTAGGGAAGGTAGACAGCAGATACATTGATGAATCAGGAAAAGAGGCCAGTGAGGCTAAGGAACAGTGAAGGAGGAGGTGAGTGGTTTGAAAAGAGGGAAGCAGGGGCCAGATTAAATAGGCCTGGTAAGGATTTTCAACTGTGAAAGAAAGCCAGGAGGGGGCCTTGAGCATGACTGTGATATGTTCTCACTTATTTTTTGAAGATCATCCTGGAGTACCCAAGTCATTAAAGATATAATTGTATAAGCAGGGAATCCAGCTAGTACTTCTTGCAATTGTCGGGATTAGACACAATAACAGCTTGGACTAGGATAATAGCAGAAGTGGTGAGGAGTCATCATAATATATTTTGGAGGTTGAGCCAACAGCATTTTTTTTTTAAAGTTTATTTATTTTTGAGAGACAGAGAGCGCTCATGAGAGAAAGGGAGGGGCAGAGAGAGAGGAAGAGAAAGGATCCCCTGCAGGCCCTGTGCTGTCAACACAGAGCCCAGTGAGGGGCTCAAAGTCACAAACCATGAGATCATGACGTGAGCCAAAATCAAGAGTCAGATACTTAACTGACTGAGCCACCTAGGCACCCCTCGAGCTGACAGCATTAAACAATGGATTGAATATTGGTTGGAGTGGGGAAGGGAAAAGAGAGGTTTCAAGAAATGACTTAGCTTTTGGGGCCTGGGCAACTAGGTGACTGGTAGTTCCTTTTCCTAAAATTGGGAAAGACTAGGGAAAGAGTAGGGGTGTGTGTGCGTGTGTGTGTGTGTGTGTGTGCATGTGTGTGTGTGTGTGCGCGCATGCGCACATACGTGTATGTATTTGGCAGGGGGCAGAAATCAGTTTGCACAGGGTAGGCTTTTGGTGCCTAATGGACCCACATGGACATGTTGGGTAGGCAGTTTAGTTTAAGCCTGATGCTCAAAGGAGAGGTCCATGAAAGCTGAAGAAGACAGATCAAAAGTCATCAGCATAAAGATGGTATTTAAAGCCCTGGACTGGGTGAAATCACCAAGGCAGTGAGTGTAGGTAGTGACAAGGCCCAAACTAGAGGATTCCAATATAAGATACCAGGCTAAAGAGAAGAATAGTCAAAAAAAATTTAGAAGAACACTGGAAGAGGCTGGTATCACAGGAGCCAAGATCCAAAAAAAGATCTTTAAAGAAGGGAGTCGTGAGCAGTCAAATGCTGCTGAGAGGCGGAGCAGGATGGAGACAGAATCGACGATTAGATTTGGCAAGTTGGAGGACACTGACGACCTTGAAAAGTACGGTTTCAATGGAGGACATAAGTGTAAGTGAAGTGGGGAAAGGAAGGAAAGATAAATGGGAACTTAGACAATTCCTTTAATAAGTTGTTATGAAATGGGGAGAAGAAAATGAGGATGCTGGTCTGACTACTCCCTCATTCTCCTGTCACCTCAAGGGATTAGAGAACACCACCAGAATGAGAACACTCAGTGGGAGTGTGCTGTGGTGCTTCCCTTTCAACTTCTGGTCACTGTGTCTCATCTGTAGTACTTTTGTACATGGATGTCTGAGACGTGTAGGGAGCATCCACCAACCTTCTTGGGACTTTGGCCACTGTTCTCCATGCTTGCCCTTCTGTCAGGCCCCCAGTGACTCCAGCTCCAATCAGGTCACCATGCCCAACTTTGCTGAAGTCCTGCTCTAGCTCCTCTCACCTGGCCTCTTCACTCTTGGCCTCTGGATGTTCTCTCCTCCTTCTCAGGACCTATTCCTGTACCTGTTACTTGCCTGTTCACTGCCTGGCCTTTTACTACCAGCACTAAAGGTACCTCTGATACCCCACAGAGTACCACTACTGGCGTCTGGACACCAGCCGTGATGGGTGGCACAGCTGGCCCATTGCCCATCAGTGGCCCCAGGGTCCTTCAACAGTGGATGCTGCCTTTTCCTGGGATGATAAACTTTACCTGATTCAGGTATGTGTTGGGAGAGAAGCTTGAAATGGTGACTGGGAGAATATCCAGCTCTATGCTGATTAATGTCCTTTTTCCTCCAGGGCACTCAGATATATATCTTCTTGACTAAAGGAGGCTATACTCTAGTAGATGGTTATCCAAAGAGGCTGGAGAAGGAATTTGGGAGCCCTCATGGGATCAACCTTGAGGCTGTAGATGCAGCCTTTACTTGTCCTGGGTCTTCTCGGCTCCACATTATGGCAGGTGAGGGGCATCTGGATACTAAAGGGTGACTTATTCTGCTATATCTCCATGGCATAGATCCCCATCAGGGCATAAGAAGGGCAAGATCAGGATCCCCATGATGTGTAAGCCATGTTATGTCTGATGCCTTTTTCCCAGGACGGAAGCTGTGGTGGCTGGACCTGAAGTTAGGAGCCCAAGCCACATGGACGGAGCTTCCTTGGCCCCATGAGAAGGTTGATGGGGCCCTGTGTATGGAAAAGTCCCTTGGCCCCAACTCATGTTCTGCCAACGGCCCTGGCTTGTACCTCATCCATGGCCCCAATTTGTACTGCTACAGTGATGTGGAGAAACTGAACACAGCCAAGACCCTACCCCAGCCCCTGAGAGTGGACAGCCTCCTGGGCTGCAGTCATTGAGAGGCGGGCTCTTGACATGAGTCTGGCATAGCCCCTTCTGCTTATTTTCTTTACAATAAAGCCAGAGTGCTGCTTTGCTGGACTCAAGGGGCCCTGGTTGTGGAACAATCTCACTTCTTCCTTTGAATTAAGAAGCTAATGACATCTCTTTGGAGGCTCTCAAGTTCAAATGAGGCTGTGGGAAGCAAGGGAGGGGAGGGCTGAGGGACAAATCCCTGGAAGTAGATCCACACTCCAGACCACGGCCTTATCTGGTTTAAGGCCAACCCCTCCTGACCTGGGGGCCCCTTGTTTTGTGGGAATTTGGTGGCTAGAACAGTAGACTGACAAGCTCCAACTGCCATACAGGGCTTTGCACTGGGAGGCCAGGTCATAAAGTGGTTCTTGATATGCACCAGTCAGTCCTACTGGACCAGGAGACTGCCTAAGGTTCCTTCACCAGCTTCAGTGGCTGGGAGGGAGGGAAGGAGATGAATCTGGGCCTCTTAGATCAGGATGGACCCAGGACTTGAGGTTGGCTGGGGCTGGGAACAGAGGTTAGGGGTAAGGCACCAGAGCTGTGGGGTCCACTCCCAAGAAGAATCTTGAGCTTTCTCCTTCATCCCTGATGATGTCTGGATGATTATCCTTATAGGGCTGGCTGCCCTTCCTTCAGTCTGAGGGGTAAGGATAAGGCCAGAGTCTCAGGTCTGGGCCTCATTCAGTTGATGTACTACATCTAGGGCCATCACTGTATCATACTAGAGAGCCTGGAGGTGTCTAAACAGTTATCCAGCAATTCTGGTACTCAAGGTTAACTTTCTCCTCTCTGAGGAGGAAATCTAAGTCTCTTTATTCTCTTCTCCCACCTGCTCTGTCACTTGGAAGCCTCTAGCTTGTTTCCAAGGAACTCACAGAAAAGATCCTACTCATGCTTCTTTCATCCACTTACCTCCTATGTGCAGAGAAGTGTGTCAGTCAACGAATTACACAGTCCCTGCCCTCAATAATCTCCAACTCTATATCACGGTCAAGAGGGGACCCCAGACAAGGCATTAGACAAATGCAATAAAGTGAGATAGAGATTAAGGTGGAAGACTGTATATACAAAGGAGAGTGGAGCCAGCAATGCCTGGGATGAAGGGGTTAGGAAAGCCTTTACACATAACACTTAATCTGAGTTTCAAAAGAGGAGTAGAACGTATGGAATCCCTTTAGCAAATATATATTCACTGCCTACTATGCAGTACCATTCCAGGAGCATTATAGGCAGGAGGGAACACAAGCAAAGAAAAGCCAGAGCAGAAGAAACAGCCAGGATTGGGAACCACAGTAATTCAGGGGAGCTAGATGAAGGGCTGGTGGGAGATGAGGTTGGAGAAGGAGGCAGGGGCTTATGAGTTCATGCCAGGCTAAGAAGCTAAGATTTTGTCTGTCTTTGGGGGCAATGAAGACCTACTGAGGGATTTTAGACATGGGTATGGAGTGTTGAGGTTTACATTTTAGAGATATCACTGTGACTGGGTGAAAGGAGGCCACAATGGATGTGAGATCACTGAGGAGACTGGTGCTGTTACTAGATGGTAAATCACATAGACCTGGACACTGGGTGGTAATGGAGATGAAGAGAAGTAGGTGGATCAAGAAGTATTTAGAAGACAGTCTATAGGGCTTGCTAAAATATTGGATAGAAGGCTGAGGGGGAAGTGAGAAATCTCACCTCCAAACTGCTCTGTGGCCCTTTTTCCCCACTCATAATTGCACCTCTCCTTCCCAAACTTCTCATGGCACCCTATTGAATTCACCCAATGGTTAATAAGCTTCTCTATATTCTCTATACACTCCATAGTTAATACACTTCTCTATCTCTTTACCTCCAGCTTTAACTGAGATCGGGCTCTGCTCCAAGGTCCCCCCTCCTTTCCCTATAGCTGTCCCAATAGATGGGCAACAATATCAGTATTAGTATGACTCCCATACACATGTGTACCATTTCTCTTCCTCTTTAAAAAAAAAGTTTATTTTGAGAGAGAAAGAAAGAGGGTATGTGCATGCATGCACGAAAGTTGGGATGGGGAAAGGAGAGAGACAGAGGGAATCCTAAGCAGGCTCCATGCTGTCAGTGCAAAGCCTGATGAGGGGCTGGATCTCATGAACCATGAGATCATGGCCTGAGCCGAAATCAAGACTTGGATGCTTAACTGACTGAACCACTGAGGTGCCTCTTCTTTCTTTCTTTTCTTTCTTTCTTTCTTTCTTTCTTTCTTTCTTTCTTTCTTTCTTTCTCTCTCTTTCTTCTTTCTTTCTTTCTCTCTTTCTTCCTGCCTTCCTCCCTCTCTTTCTTTCTTTCTTTCTTTCTTTCTTTCTTTCTTTCTTTCTTTCTTTCTTTCTTCTTTCTTCCTCCCTCCCTCCCTTTTCTTTCTCTCTTTCTTTCTTGTTTAATATTTATTTATTTTGAGAGAGAGAGAGGGAGAGAGACCGAGAGAGGAGGGGGAGGGGCAGACAGAGGGAGACACAGAATCCAAAGCAGGCTCCAGGCTCTGAGCTGTTAGCACGGAGCCCAATGTGGGGCTCGAACTCACGAACTGTAAGATCATGACCTGAGCCAAAGTCAGACACTTAACCGACTGAGCCACCCAGGTATCCCTCTTCCTCTTTCTATGCAGGTTAAATTCCTAAATTCCTTCTTTGACATCATGCAAGTGAGCAATACCTCTCTTTTTTTTTCGTTTTATGTTTGTTTATTTATATTGAGAAAGAAAGATAGAGAGTGAGCAGGGGAGGGGCAGAGAGAGAGGGAGAATCCTAAGCAGGCTCTGCACCATCAGCTTGGAGCCTGACATGGGGCTTGATCCCTTGAACCACAAGATCATGCCCTGAGCCAAAACCAAGAATCCGACGCTCAACTGACTGAACCACCCAGCTGCCCCAAGCCATACCATTCTTTTTTTTTTTTTTTTAATGTTTATTTATTTTTGAGAGAGAGAGAGAGAGAGACCGTGAGTTGGGGAGGGGCAGAGAGCGAGGGAGACAGAATCTCAAGCAGACTCCAGGCTCTGAGCTGTCAGCACAGAGCCTGATGTGGGGCTCTAACCCACGAACTCTAAGATCATGACCTGAGCCGAAGTCGGACGACTAACCAACTGCACCACCCTTGTGCCCCCATACCATTCTTATGGCCATCATCTACCAACCTTCTGCTATGTCCTCTCAGTTGGTGAAGCCATCCAATTAGTATGACCAAACTCTGACCCTACTCATTATTCACAATTGCTCTTCCTGTGAAAAAATGCCTTAAGTTCCACCATCCCACTTGTGACCACAACCTCTTATCCTTATGTTTCTGCCTCCTGCACAACTACATTCTCCTTCTCCACCTCCTTGATTTTATAGAGATGTTTGATCCCTTAATTATCTCCCAGTCCTCCATGCCCTCAAAGCCATTCTTTCCTTACCCTAGGTGAACATTAAGATTGATCACCTGAACAACTTACTTAACAATACTTTTATTTCTCTGTTCCCTCTAATTTCTACTTAATCTAGCTATAAAAAAAGAAAATAAAAAGAAAAGAAATACAAAAACCAATGTTAGGTCAGAAAAAGAGTGAGAACTTTAGAATCAGTCATGTCTGAATTCCAATCCTAGCTAGGCCACTTACTAACTCTGTATATTTGAGAAATTTAGCCTCTCTGAGTTTTGTGAGTGGTGTATGTGTGTGTACATGCATGTGTGTATGCAAAAAAGGAATGCATATTGTATTGATGGCTGTTCAATAAAAATACAGAAATCACTCCAGATATAACAAGTAGAGGAGGATTTAAAGCAAAGAATTTGTTACAAAGTTGTAAGGGAGGGGGGCAGCTGGCTGGCTTGGTCAGTAGAACATGTGACTCTTGACCTTAGGGTCATGAGTTGAAGCCCCACATCGGGTGCTGAGCTTACTTAACAACAACAACAACAACAACAACAACAACAACAACAACAACAACAACATAATGGAGATCTGCAGAAGCATAAAAAGGAAAACAGAGTTATTCAGAGACCAGGAAACTACCATTCACCTTGGTTTAGAGGGGGAAAAGGGAGAAAAGTTATTGCCCAAGAACCAAGGAGCTGGAATGTACACATCTACATGAGTGGATCAAGGAGCTGGAGCCTACAAATCTGCACTAGCTGCTGATGCGCCTGGAGTTTGCACTGCTGATGCTACTGGAATCACCTCTGCTTTTGCTGGGCAGGAACCACTGCTGCTGATGTTGCCAGAGGCACCTCTCCCTTCCCCCTACTCTTCTCATGCTACAAAGGCATCTGAGAAATGTGGCTTTCAGATTTCCAGCCCGGTTAGTACAGGGGAGGCTACAGAAGAGTGGGTGTGGGGATGAGTACCAATAGGCAACATCTGCCACATATATTCATCATATATGAGTTGGGTGATAAAACCTAACTCAAATTAGTATTAATTAAGCACAAAGGAAATTTACTGACTTACGGGACTTTAGGCAGAGGTAAATATAGGTATTAAATTGATGTTGTCAGGCATCTGTCTCACTCCACCCCTTAGCTCTGCCTTGAGTTGGCTTTGTTCTCAGGCAGGCTCATCCTTCCCTGTGGCAAGATGTCTACCAGGTTTGCCTTCTATGAACACCTCTTGCCCAACAGTTGCAGGAAACTGCTCATATTCCATCATGTACCCATTTCTGAATTGATCACTTTGACCTGACTCTAGGTTAGAGATCCAGCACTGACATGGATATGGGACTGAGATGATTCCCGTCTGAACCACATAGAGTGGGGTGGGGATGGATCTTCAGAGAAAACTGATGTGCTGTTACCAATAAGAAGGGGGTGGGTGCTGTGCAGATAACAACAATGGCAACAACATGTTCACGACAGGGTAATACTCACCTTATAAGGTTTTTCTTGTTCTCATCCAAACGTATTGCTTCCTCAGATAAAGATTTTGACAATATTGATATCACCAGGTGCAAAATCCCTCAACCTCTTGCCTGCTCCACTTTAT